ACATACACACACACACATATATACATACATACATGTATTCTGTTGATGGAAAAGCAATGCAGTGTAATGGAAATGTAGTTAAGATGCTTGTGGATGTTGACATAGGTGATGCAGAAAGTGAAAATTCATTGTGTTTGATATATATTGTTCTTTGGGCCTTTTACCATTATTATGAATATATCTTTTAAAATAAGTATGTTGGTTATTTATTTATTTATTTTATTTCTTTGTTTACTGAGACACTATGTAGTTCTTCCTGGCCATGAACTCCATATGTAGCTGGCCTTGAACTTTTGGCAGTCCTCCTGCCTCAGCCTGCTGAGTGCTAGGATTATAGGCGTGTGCCACCATGCCCAGCTAAGTGGGTTATTTTAAAGAGAAATTTTAAAATATGTGTTTCAGGGTTTGCTCACAAATTATTTAACAGTTCAAGAGACTAAGGATTTTTTTGTTTTACCTTTAAAAAGCTCTTCAGTTAAAAATGTCACTACTTCTAGTTGGGTGCTATGGCACAGACCTATAGTTCAAGCTACTTGGGAGGCGCAGGCAGGAGGATCACCTGAGCCCAAGAGTTTGGGGCTGTCTTGGGAGCCTAGTAAAACTCTATCTCAGAAAGGTGTTTTGTTGTTGTTGTTGTTGTTGTTTTATTTTTTACTATTTCTGATTCTCAGAGGTGACCAATTAATAAAAATCAGAAAAATATCATTCAATTAAAAATCATTATTTACTTTTCGTTCTGGATTTAACACTACAAAATTGAAAAAAAATATAAAATAGGAAGAAAGGGGCTAAAGGTGTATGGGGAAGTGGGAAAGGGAGGGGAAAGGAAATAAGGGAAAAGAAAAAATATGAGAAAATAAAAAAATGGAAATAAAGTTTTTGTAAATAGAGAAGGGATTAGGGGGTGAAGGGAGGGCAGGGTTATGGGGAAAAATGAGAACCAAGACCTGTCATGTAAAGGTACAAGATCCCAACGATGAATGTAATTGCACTGTATACCTAAAATGTACCAATAAACTCAATGAGGGGAAAAAATAAACCAAAATTGAAGAAAAATTCAGCTCAAATTTTTGCATCTGTGTGTATTTATACTTTTTTAAAATGTGGAAAAGCAAGTATAGCATGGAATATGAAACATATTTTATTCTGAAATCCTAGTATAACTTTGAACCTAGAACTTAACATTGTTTTTCTTAGGGAAAACTCGTTGTTGGACACAATATGCTCTTGGATGTCATGCACACAATTCATCAGTTCTACTGCCCTCTGCCTGCGGTGAGTGGCTTGCCAGTCTGCATCTGAGTGCTTTCTTACTCAGGCAGTATTCTCTGCTTGAGTGCCATTTCCTCATACACACCGTGTTCAGAAAAGGGTGGCAGGGTGGGAGGGGAGTAAGACTTATGTGCTTGGTTGTACATAGTTTTTGTGTGTGTGTACCAGGGATCAAACTTAGGATCTTGCTTGCGAGACAGGTGCATTACCACTGAGCTACATCCGTGGTCCCGTGTTGTACATGTTTGATATGTGCACGTAAGCTATTTTAAGGGATCCTCAGCCTGCCATTGCTGGAGTAAGGTAAAATATTGGTCTCATCTTGATGCTCACAGTTTGCTCGTTTAGTGCTGGGCTGCGGGCATGGGCTGCTGGTTTAGTGCTGCTAAAATGAGATGCAGCAGGACCACTGGAGGTAAGGGGTGCCAATTGAATTGGATCAGATTCTATAAAATTCTTGATTGCTTCATGCTGAGTTGCTTCCCTGAGGTTTTCTGTTGACCTTGGTAGTGATTTTTTTTTCCTTTTCTGTGCTTAGAGCCAAGACACCTAAATGCAGTATGCATAAGCTTGTCTGGCTTCTCTTTTGCTTCTTGCTCTCTTGCTTCCTAACTGCACATGGCTGCGTCTCTCTTGCTCAGTCACCCATCCTCTAGTCTCCTTTATTTTATGTCCTTTAGTGACCTCACTTCTTTCATTACTTCAGCTTTAGGCCCTAATGTCTGGGTTCCTGGCTGTGGTCTTGCTTGGAGCTGGGTGTGCCTCTCACCCTGCCTCCAGGCATTTCCACCTGGCTAGTCTTCAGAGGAAGGTTGTTTAGGGCTTATATGTCTCAAATAAGGTCATTTGCACTTCCTTTCTTCCCTCATCCTGCCTCCATAGCAGTGTTTCCTCCTTATTCCATTACTGTACATGATTTTTGGTCCCTAACCTTGTTTGTAGTATCAGTTTTGACTCTCTGTCTCCACAGCTGGTTTTTGCAAAATCTTAATGGTATTAATCTCCATGTTGTCTCTCATATCAGGGTTATCTTCACTTCTGTTGGAAATAGCGCTATTTTTCACCTGTAATTCAAGCAAACTCCACGTGGGATTCCTTATCTATCCCCCACCCCAACATTCAGCCTCCCTTTAAACTTGAGGGTGGCAACTTTTTCTCTTAAGGGGCCAGATATAGAGTATTTTGGCCTTTCAGGCTGTATTATCTCTGCCACAACTTTCAGCTCTGCCAGTGTAGCCCCAAACTGCCACAGAATGTATAAGAAGTGTGTGTGGCCACGTTGCAGTAAGATTAAAAAAAAAAAAAAAGTCATGGGCCAAAGTTGGTCTGGCAGGTCAGAGTTGGCAAATCCCTTCTTTAAAATGATATGAGATTAGATCAGTCTTTTGTTACTTGTGCATTGGAAAACACCCACTTGAGCATTAGGTCTCATATGTACATCTGACAGCTTCCACTTGCTTCACATTTCTTAGATTGCCGTGTCAGCATCTTGCTTACTGTCCTGTAGAATGCTAAAACCTAGCCCGGCTATGTGTAGAGTGGGGCTGTTCTCCCCCATCCTCCTTTAGCATCCTTAAGGTTGCCACTACTTCTCATAACGCCTCCATTACCCTCTAGGACACCAAAGCTTCCTAGTTGTAACTCTCAAAACAAATGTGATGGAATTTGCAATTTATGTCTAAAGGACTAATATTTGTTTCAGATCATCCATTTCTCGGTTAGGCAGACCAAAGTAACATCTCCTCTCCTGAGATTCTGACCTTTAAAGTAGTGAAGTTATTAATAAAGAAAGAGGAAAGCATATTTAATACAGTGGAGCCCTAAGTTACAACCGGCTTGACGTACGAACAACTTCGATTATGAGCAGGATTTTAGTTTCAACTTATGAACAGAGCCTTGAATTACAACCCAACTGCCAGCCACTTGTGCTTCCAGATGGTCTCAGATACAGATTTAACCCTTAAGGAGTTCTGGAAGGAACCTTACAACACCCTTTCCTCTGTGGGATTAGTTGAGAAATCCTGGGCCATTGTTCAAGGACTCTGAGATCTGCCTATACACAGGAGAGAGGCTTTGAAGGTTGTGTAGAGGAGCCTGAACTTTCAGTTGACCAACTTGAGTTACAACCAGCCCTCGTGAATGAATTGAATTCTTTTTTTTTTTTTTTTTTTCCCCCTCAGTACTGGGGATCAAACTCATGATCAAACTTGTGCTTGCAAGGCAGGTGCGGTGTCACTGATTGAATTCTGAAGTCAAGGGTCCACTGTAGTGTCTTTCAAAGTATTTTAAATAGCAAACAGTATGCCACATACAAGGCTTTAAACATTGATTGAATGAACATCTTCAGACTTTTTGTCATCTTCTGATGTGGCTCTGTTCATGTCGCTGAGCCTGCTTTAAAATTCTCAAAACATTTCACATTCTTTTTCCATATAGTTGACTTTTAGCCTGGTATGTCAGGCTTCTCTGATCTGCCCTAACCTTCCTTGTGGTCCTAGCACTTTTACCCTCCTCCTTCCCAGCTAGACTGGCTTGTTTTTTCCCTGAGAAGAGCCTGTGGTTTGAGTATATAATTTCTTAAAACTTTTGAGCTTTCTCCAGCTTTTCTCAGTGTGCACAGTCTGTAGCTTTACCTTATATTTCCGAGGTCCACCATGAAACTTTCCCTACCTGCTGTCTTTTTGCTAAAAAAAAAATGATCTTTTTCTGAACTTGGACAGAACTGAGGACTTCTCTGGTACGTAAACTTTGCCTTACCTTATATAATGCAACCCCCTTCTCCTCAGCACTTAGCTCCTTGGAGGAGGGTCTGAGTGCCTGGCAGCCCTTGGTATGTGGGCACTTAATAAATACTAACATGAGACTAGTATGGAATCAAATTCAACTAGAAAGCAGGTGATTTGGTGTACAACAGGAGATGGGTTAGGGTAAGCAGTTTTATCCCTTGCTCTGTCACTGAGACAGCGAGGGGAGTTTCCTCATGTTGTGTCACTGTCCGAGGGAGACGTTTTTCTTTTATTTACCTTTAGAAGAACTAATGAGAAAACCTGTTTAAAATGGAAGGACTTCTACATGCATGGGCACCAAACTTCGCATGTACAAGTGTGCTAAAGAACCTACATTTTAGAGCTGCCTGTTGGGGAGGGCGGTCTCTTCTTATGAGACTGCTTGGTACCTCATCGTGACCTTTCAAAAGGAATTGATGTAGAATTCTGCTGTGCTTTGATCCTGCAGGTTGCCATCATTTTACCCTTTTCTTGCTTGTAAAGGTTTGCAGTAGTATTGAGAGATTGCCGACAGTCTTTATGTTTGACTTACATTGAAACCACTGCTTCACGTATTGTCCGTTAATTTAATGATAGCTGTTGAAAGCCTGGTAAATATTTCAAGCTAGCTAAGTACAGTTTGTATTTACAGGCTTGAAAGCTAATTGGAAATGACAGTTTCCTGTGAAGCATGAATAAGATTGGAGAAAAATGTAGTTTACAAAGGGTCAGGAGTGTGACTACCCAGTCTAACATTGCAATTATATATGTAAATGAGTTAATTCAAAATTAGAATGCTCTCATTTCTGCTCTAGACTTCCTGATCAAAATAAACTTGGGAAATGAATTGTCTAATTTAAGCACTTGCTGTTAGTGCCACTTTAGCAATTTTCTGAGTACTTAAATCAAGAATCATATGAAATGTCTATTTAGAACCCATTTTAACTGACATTCATAGATGCTTTCAGAGGTAAAAGCTAGTTTACAATATGTCAGTCTCTTGTATAAACCATTTAATACAAATGACACTGCTAGCTGCACTTTTTTGTGTATGGTTCTGGGGATTCAACCAGGCTTTAATGCTAAGCTACATTCCTACCCTTTTTTATTATTTTTTGGGTTTTTTTTGTTGTTGTTGTTCTTTTTTGGTACTGGCGATTGAATTCAGGACCTTGCTCACTTTTTTGTTACTTTTTATGTTAAGACTGGATCTTGCTAAGTCACTAACCTGCTCACTGAGCTTGAACTTGCAGTCCTCCTGCCTGAGCCTTCTGGAATTCTGAAATTATAGGCATGTACCACCATGCCCCGCTTATTCTCACATGTATGATAAATTTTTATTTGTTTGTTTGTTTTTGGTACGAGGGATCAAACTTGGGCCCTTACCCTTGTGAGGCAGGTGGCGGAATCACCGAGCTAAATCCCCAGCCCAGTATGATAAATTTTTAGATTGGAGCACAACCTGTTAGCTGTTACTGTAACTTTCCTAAAAGTATTACAAGCCTCTCAACAAGTAGTTTTCTGCTTCTAGTAGGACATCCCCCCCTTGTCATTTCAGACCTAAAATCCTTAAATTTGACTATTTTTGTTATGCAGAGAGGTTCGTTATCAGGTCATATTGTTCCCAGCCACTGAGGAAATTGGATAGATTTTTTTGAAAATAAGTAATTCTTAACTAAAAATGGGTTTCATAGTTTAGTTTAAAGCCTGTGTGAGTTGTGCTACTAGTTTGAGAAGATAGGTATGCACCTGAGCTGCTTACATTTGTTTTCCGTAAATTGGTTATACTGCATTAGGACCATTGTAATGAATCATTCTCTTATTTTTTAGGACTTGAAAGAGTTTAAAGAGATGACAACATGTGTCTTCCCCAGGTAGGATGTCTTTGAAGGCTTGTCTTCCTTGTAATGTACACCACAGGAATAGATATGTGGTGACATGACAGGAATTGGTACGGTGACAACCACTGGGATCGTGCTAGAATACACTTCACATGAGTTGGGGAATTATTTAATGTATTCAACTTGGTGACCAGTTGGCTGTTTTAAGTTTATGCTTTGTTTCGTTGTCCCATTAAAAATCCAAGTTTGAATGAGAGTGAAAGCAGATGGCACCTTGTTACCTCACATCTTGCTGTCTGAAGGACTGGTGAAGATGCCTTGAGATGCCTGTTGTATGTGATCTGTGCCTTATAACTATCGAAGGATTCAATTGAGAGTCCTCTCTTTTCAGTCAAACTAACTATAGATTTTTTTTCCCTTCGCTCTAAGCCAGTGCCTTTACTTGTTAGTGTTTTCATAGCTAATATTGCATGCTAATTCTCATGTGTCACACATCTGATGGACCTCGTGTCAGCCATGGGGTGCCTATGCCTACAGAACAAGGGTCTGTGTTTTAGGGTCCATTTGAAGAGGAGCGGGTTGATAGCTAAGCCCTTTATCTTTCATGTGGGCTATTTCTGTCATATTATCCACAGCGTTCACAGTCGTGTGAAAAGAAATACAGAAATACTGTTTTTATGTTGGTCTTTGTCTCTCTCTGTTTAGCATTTTCAATCTCTGAAATAGGAATGATGAGAAATAACAACAGCACAAAACTATCAAATGTCAGTTTTGGCCCGCCATAAGAATTTATATCATATAAACCTGGGAAGCCATGGTGGATGGTAGTGGTTTGGGAAGTTCACTGGTTTTTGGACCACATGAAAGTATATGAGTGTGTTTATTTTTGAGATTGATGTAGACAGCGCTCTCTCAGGGCACGTTAGCCTCCTGGCTAATGTAGTGCTGATATTGCTGCGAGGTTCACCAGGAAAATGTGTTTGGTTCCTCTGTTGAAGTGTTTGATGCATTAAGCATATCCTAAGATTTCATGCATTAAATATATATTAGGTATGAATGTATTTGAATAGAGTACATTTTGAACATTGATACACATTTTGTTTGTTAACAATTCTGCTTTTAGACTCTTGGATACTAAATTGATGGCAAGCACACAACCATTTAAGGTATTATTTAAATTTTATTACTGATAAACTATTTTGAAATTTTTTGAATTACTTCTAATTTAAATTAGCTTTGGAATTCTAGTCTACTTATATGTCATTTAAAATACATTGAAGAAAAGAAAAAGAAATAAAGGAGGAAAGATAAAGAAAAAAACTGGAAAAAAGCCAGAAATAAATATATTCATATATGAACAACAGTTGTCTTTGAGTGGTAGAATTATGGGTTTCTTATCTTTTATTTTTTGAATGTAAATTTTTAATATTAAAATGTATAGTTTATTTTTGGATAGATTACATTTTCATAGTTCTTTCTTTCCTAATTTGCTTTTATTTTATATATGTTGAATATATTTTCTAACCAAGAAAATTCAAGTCAGCATATGTAATTGTTTGTACTTGGTGAAGGGCATTAAATAACTGAGATGAAAACCTAGAACTGTATAGCTTTCTGGTAGAAATGTGTAAGTTTTTAATGCATCTGTAAAACATTCTTCCATTTGGCTATAGAGTGAAAATTCAACTTGCTGCTTCCTTTGCATTGCATAAATAAATTCTGTTTGTATAAAGAACACCAGGGGGCAGTACAAGATGCTTATTATGTGACTGTCTTGCCAGTGGGTTTCCTTAATGTATGTTACCCTGAGAAGATGAAGTGTCATAATTCTCTGCTTCCTTGTTTGCAGGATATCATTAACAACACATCCCTTGCAGAATTGGAAAAGCGGTTAAAAGAGACACCTTTCAACCCTCCTAAAGTTGGTAAGAACAAAAGCCTCAAACGCTTTGTGATAATTATTGATGTATACTGTAGAAGAAAGGCGAAATGACTCTAAAACTGTATTGCACATTTGTAGACTTTGACTGATGTAACTTGCTTGTGCCTGTGTTGAGTTACTGTTTTCAGAATGAAGATGGTCTTCTAATTATACATCTATCTTATATTAATAGAGTTCGGTAGGCGTTCATTGAGTTCATTGAGAAATCTGGCAATTAAAACTTCAAGGTTTTTATATTTTAATACTTGGAATTTTCCCAAAACATAATGTGTTCTTTTATGTGGTACATTGCTTAAGCAGACAAAAAATTGGTAGGTTAATTGTCTCTAGAAGAATGAGAAAACATTTTCTGTCTCAGAAAAGCCCAAGAACTGGGTTTATTAATGGAGAGTATCCATTCCTGTTTCCTTCTGGGTTTAGGGATGGAAATAGCAGTATTGGGGAAAACTAGAGGTTAAGAGAAATATTTCTCGTTAAGATAGAGGTGTTTTGCCATATCTGGTCACCCCCCAGGTATTTGGTGAGCCTGCTGCTGTGATATTGATCCTGGTAGCTTAATTGTGCTGCTGGTACTGTAGTTAGTGTTCCATTATCTGTAACCTGAAAACTTCTAAGATGTCGATAATGGGGCTAATAATTCCCAAATTGATAATGGAAGGTATTAAAGCAGCATGATTATAGTTATTTGCTTCCGTTTGTGAGTAATAGTCCAATAAGGAAATTAAGAAAAGGGCGATGGGAGGAAGAAAACCTAAACCTTGTCTGTTACGATATAATGGAAACAATTGGGGAAATAATGTTTTTCAGCTGGTGGTAGTGTGGAGGATATTGCTTAGGTGTTACCATGTTAAAAGGTATTTAAAAAAGCTGCAAGACTGATATTTAATACTTAAGCAGAGGTTGAAGAATTTTTGGTTAAAGAGCATTGTATTGACAAAAAAAATGACAGCCTTTTCATTGTTAATTTGTATTTGCGCTTCCAATGCTGTGTTGTAGTAACCTTGACATTCATTTCCAGAATGACTCTAGGACATAATTATTTATAAATGATAGTTTTATCCTATTATTTCCATATAGTGTTCTGGTACCTGGTAGAGAATTTAGTGTAAAGCAAGTGGCTCTTCTCACACTTATTCTTTTTTGTTCTTTTCAGACTTTATCTTTTCAGCATCTGTGTATATCAGTGTAACAAAAGATTCATGTTATAAGATGACCTGTGCTATGAAGTGGTTCATGAGATAAGGGCAGCATTACAGAAAATTCTGATCTATTTTTGGAGTGGTTGTGCTGTCAACTTTAGATCTCTCCGCTTGTAAGCATAGTAGAGATGTTAATGACTTTGAGCTGCCAGTATTGAACTTTAGTTGTCATTTTGAGGGGAGGACTGTCTGGGGTATTGATAGATAACAACTAGGTAGGAGCTTTACTTACTTTGTGCCTTTTGATCCTCACAAAACTGGAGGATCAGAGGTGATGTGCATTGCCCAAGGTCACATAGCAAGTAAGTGGTAGAATAGAAATTCAGACTAAGACTGTGTAGCTCCAGAGTCCTGCTGCTGATCTTTGTTGTGTTCTGATGTTATCTTTATGTATAGGGAACAACTTCCTTTTCATGACCTTACAGGGCAACCAGAAGAGGAGTGATTGTCATAGGGACAGTTACACACGATAGTGATTGTAAATAGCCACTGGTAGGGTGAATTTTTTTCACCCTTGGCTGAATTTTTTATGATTTTTCCCCCCTGGTACCAGGGATCGAACTTGGGCCCTTGCCGCTTGCAAGGCAGGTGCCGGAACCACTGAGCTAAATCTCTATCCCCCTTGGCTGAATTTTTGATCACATACCTGAAGAATGTTTCTAGTCTAACCAATGCCTTCATTTTTTGGGACTCTGCTATCTCATTGTAAGATCTTGTACAAAGAGAATTAAGAAAATGTTTTTTCCTGCTTAGTTAGGATACTTTTGTGGCATACTCTGATGCAATTTAGGTTTGACATTGTGTTTACTCATCTTCATGTTTGTGGTATACTGGGGAAAACTTTTTTTCCTTTTTTCTCTTTAGAAAGTGCAGAAGGTTTTCCAAGTTATGACACAGCTTCTGAACAGCTCCACGAGGCAGGCTATGATGCTTATATCACAGGACTGTGCTTCATCTCCATGGCAGATTACTTAGGTATTCCCTGTATGTGTTCCTGTCAGACGCACAGTGGGCTAGAACAGGTGTCACCTCTCTCCATGCCTTGGTTCAAGCTTCTGTGACAGTAGCTACCAGAGACTGGGTTACTCAAACAGTAGGCCTTGGTTTCTCCAATTTTGGAGGTTAGGAAGCCCAAGACCAAAGTGCTAGTGGATATGGTGTCTGGTGAAAGCCTACATCGTGGTTTGTAAAAAGTTATCGTTTCCTTATATCCTCACATGGCAGAGAACAGACAGGGAGGACACTCCCTTGTCTTTTCATAAGAAAGTCCTCTTAATTACCTCTCAGAGGTCTAATCTTCAAATACAGTCATGTTGGGGGGGTGTTAAGAGTCTATATATAAATTTTAAAGGCACAAACATTCAGGCTGTAACACTACCATTTCTTTAGAATCTCCACCCACCAACTTAGAAATGGGAGATTCTGAGGTGGGAGTAGCAGGAGATGGGAGGGAAAAAGGCAGAGAGAGGAACCACTGACCCTTACTGTAAGGTGCCTAGCCCAAAAGTGTACCTTTACCTTGTCTGATCATACTATTGCTTTAATTTTTTTTCTTTTGTCTGAACTTTCAGACTTTGCCACTTGACTGTGTATAATATCCTGCTTCTTTTCTTTATTAGGTTCTTTTCTCAGTCCTCCAAAAATTCATGTGTCTTCCAGATCAAAACTCATTGAACCTTTTTTTAACAAGTAAGTAATCAGAGGGTCCTGATCCCCCATGTCTCTGACTGTGGATAAACCTAGTATCTTGGGATGACTGGAAGATTCATTTTTAGATCAGCTATTTCTCACATCTAGTAATTCAGATGGTTTTTGGAAATAGAAAGTGACTTTTTAAAAAATAATTTCTTAAGTATATTGGCTAAAAAAGAAAACATTGCTAAAGGTAGTATGTTTCTTCTAAGAACTGGTAGTTTTTGCATTTAAATTTTCCTGCAAAGGAGGCATATGTACAGGTAGACTTATTCCTTAGCGACTTTACATGTACAATTATTTGTTTGCATAATGATCTGGTTATATAATATTTCTGAGAAGATGTTAGATGAATGACAATTGGGATAATCTGTGCAGTTTTGATTGTCACACTGCTTCCTGAGCCCTCATCTAAATGGATCCAGTTGAAGTAAAGACTTGTATTTACATCTTCATTGTTGGAAGGACAGAGTCAGTGTAATTTAGGGAAAGGTCTTAAGTTTGGAATGTTTTTTTTAAATCTCCAGCTTGTTATTTCAAGCTGTAGTTTTTGCTTGGTGGGCAAAGCTGAGACTGAAGACATGGCTTTGATCCTTAAGCACACTTTGTCTCTGTCCGGCAGCCCTGAACCTTCTCCTTACATGGCTGTGTTAGATTCTGTGTGAGCCAGAGAGAACGAGGCAGCCCTCTTTGATCACTACCGCTGGAAGAAATAACTATTTGGTTGTTTTTGTTGTTGTTATTTTTTTTTTTTCCATCTTTTGCAGTACCAGGGATCAAACTCAGGACCTTGCACATGCCAGGCAGGTGTGGCACCAGTGCACTACATCCAGGCCCAAGAAATAACTTTTTGAGTGTTGAGCTGGTTATATCATTTCCTTCCATTATATGCAGCACTTTACAGTCCTATCATTGCTTTACCAGCTTAGAATAGAGTTTCCTTAAGATATCTGTGTAAATGCTAGCGCCATAGTGCAGTGCTTAAGTGGCATGCTGCGGAGACAGCTGTTAATGCCAAATGCCTAGATTCCTACAGGCTCTGAGTAGGTATTGTTTGAGTTAGTGCATTTTATCACACTACGACTTTAAAAAAAAAATTTTTTTTTTGTTCTTTCCTATGGAGGTTCATAGATGAACGTGTTCAAGTTTCAAAACCTTGTTCAAAGTGGACTGGCTGGTAGTGTGGTGTATATTGGAAGTGACGTTGAATTCTTCTGCGTGGGAAATGAATTGTGCTAATCACTGAGCCCTTGCTGTCTACCCACTTCCTGTAAGGGAGAAAAAGGATTTTCTTAGCTTTTAACTCTTCATTCCGGGGACTGTGTTTATCTGCAAATCTCTGGAAATGTGGGTTATGCCATAGATCATGGAAGACATAGGTGACAATAGATATGGCTAATTAAGATCATGGCTGTCATATTTTGGTATACATGGTATTAAATTCATTGTTCTGTAGTATTTGTCCAGTGGAATTGTGTACTTATTTAGAACTATTTGAAGCAACAATCCTGCTTCTCCATTAAATTCATTTCTCTTATAAAATCAGGTAATGGATACAAACTGAGTTAGGTACAGGTCTGCTGTATCAGTCTGGTATGTGACCATCATGCAGGGAAATCAAATTGAGTTTTGATTAAAAAGCTTAAGCCAGGCATAGTGGTGCACATGTAATCTCAGCACTCCAGAGGCTGAGGCTGGAGGATCACTGTGAGTTCAAGGCTACTTGGACTACCTAGTGAGACCCTGTCTCAAGAAAAAAAGCTTAACTAAGACCTTCAAGATTTCTAGATTAACCTAAATTGCGAACACTATGTCTCAGTATTGTATGAAAGAGCGGGACTGTAAATACACATGGCTTCATTTTAAGTTGAAGTATATGTCTACTAAAGATTTTTTTTCTTTTGGCTGAAATCTAGATTTATACCAAAAATAGGTAAATGAAAGATATGAAACTTCCTGTGATTGTGATTGTATCCAAAATTCCTCAATTGATTTTTTGGTCTTTTTTTCTCATCTATAAAGGAAGAATATTTTCTTCATCTTTTTTGGCTTTTTTTTTGGTACTGGGAATCGAACTCGGGACCTTGCACTTGTGAGGCAGGTGGCAGAACCACCGAGCTAAATCCCTGGCCCTTCTTCATCTTTCTTATTATTAATAAATTTTATTTTATTTTATCTCATTCCCCACTTAGACCCCCTCCCTTTCCTCTGTACAAAAGCTTTGCTTCTTTTTTTGAGGGGGTACCAGGGGTCGACCTCGGGTCCTTGTGCTTGCGAGGCAGGCGGTAGAACCACTGAGCTAAATCCCCAGCCCTTTGTTTCTGTTTTTTTCTTGTTCCTTCCTTTTCTCCCTCATTTTCTTCATCTTTGAGGGCAAAAAATCCTAGCAAGATTTGAAATGAAAAATGTGCAAAGATTGAATGTAATGCAATGTGTTTTCTAAGACATAGTTGTCTAGGAGAATATCCTGCAAGGACTTGGCATGGCCTGGGTACCTTACATGTACCTGTTGGCTTTGATGGGATCGGGATGAGAGTCGTGAGAGGGAGGCCTGGTGGTCAGCATCAGGCGGTGTGGAATGTCCTTTTCATTTACATTGGAAGCTATCTGGTCAGGAAATGGTTCACTTTCTTTTATAGCCCTGGTCAGTTTTAATCAGTGCATGGAAAACCAGCCTTAGTAAAGATCCTTTGGTCAAATACTTTTAGCCTGGAAGGAGCTAAAAATACTGTGCTTTACTTTTTATTGTACCACAGAAAGCATAAAGTCCTGCTTTTGTCTTATGTCTTATTAAGAGGCATGTGTCTCTGTAAGGCATCGCCTGAACTTTCTTGTAGATAACTTTTTGTTAAGCTTTTTTGAGGAGGTTTTTTAGGGGAAAACCCTGACCATTCTCTGAAAGAGAAAGGAAATAAACAAGTCTTTTACCTTGGCTCTCCTCTGTAAGTGTGGAAGCTTAAAAAGAAAAGCTACCTGCCTGCAGTTTCCTGTGCAGGGTTGCTGTGTGGTCTGGATGCCGATGTTCTGACTTGGGACAGGATCTGCAAGATGTTGGTCTCTCTGGGATAGCACTGCTTTAGGTTCTCTAAGCTACTGACGAGCAGCTCAGCCACAGCAAGGAGCGATGTGGTCAAAGAAGAGACTGTTCTTCCTCTGTAAAATGGAGACAAAACTCGGCCTTCCACGGAGGTCCTAAGGATGGTACAGTTGTGATAAGATAGTTCCTAGGACTTAGCAGATGCCTGGTATGTATGGTTTTCCTTTTTAGAAATAGAAAGATTGAGGAGATGTTAATCAAAGAATACAAAATTTTAGTTCTCTTGAGTAAGTTCAAGAGATCTACTGTATGTCTATGTGACCGTGAATAGTGTATTACAGCACTGGGGGTGTTGGGAGTGTAGCTCGGTAGTACAGTGCTTGCCTAAAATGTGTGAGCCCCTGGGTTTGATCCTTTGCACTACAAGCAAAAACACTGTATTTTAAGTCTAAAATAAATTAATTTATAAAAACGAGGAGAAAGCATAACAAGGTCTAGCATAGTAGGTTAGTTAATAAGAGTAGATAAGAGCCTGGGTGTGGTGACACATGCCTGTAGTCCCAGCTACTCAGGAGGCTGAGGCAGGAGGATCACAAGTTGAGACTACTGTGAGCAACTTAGCGAGACCCTCTTTCAAAATAGAATTTGAGGGTTGGGGATTTAGCTCAGTGGTTCCACCATCTGCCTTGCAAGCGCAGGGACCCAAGTTTTATCCCCAGTACCAAAAAAAAAAAAAAAAAA